TTACCTGCAGACACACAAATAAATCCAAAAGATCAGGGCCCAAAGCAGTTGATGGCGGTGAGTCTCCGTAATGGCAGAGATCTGGATGTAGAACAAGAGAGGGCTCGACGAAATATTCAGGATGAAACACTCATACCAGTGCCCATTGAGCTGGATGAGACAACTAAACTGACAGAGGTGACAGTCCAGCCTGCACAAGAAGAAGAGAGCATTCAGCAGGAGACCGAGGAAGCAGCTGACCCAGTTCAGGAGCCAGTAATTGAGATAGTAGCTGGTAAAGATCAGTCCCAAGTGATTGGGAAGAAGAGACCTCCTGTACCTTTTCCACAGAGGTTGGCCAAGCATCAAAAGGATGAGCAATATAAGAAGTTCTTTGAAATGCTTAAACAAATCCAGGTGAATATACCATTGATCGAAGCTTTAAAGGAGATGCCTGGATATGCAAAAATGATGAAGGACTTGATGTCCAGGAAGTTTGACTTTCAAGACTTGGCCACAGTTACACTTACTCAGACCTGTAGTGCAGTGGTGACTAGGCCAATTGCAGAAAAGCTGTCTGACCCAGGGAGCTTTACAATTCCGTGCACTATCGAAAATTTCGCCTTTGCTAAGGCGCTCTGTGATTTAGGGGCTAGCATTAATCTTATGCCTCTGGCTATTTATAAGAGGTTGGGCATTGGGAGAGCTAGACCCACCTCCATGTTGTTGCAATTGGCCGACAGGACTGTGAAGCGTCCATTTGGTATCCTTGATGATGTGCTGATTCAGGTAGGGAAATTCGTGTTCCCTGCAGATTTTGTGATCTTGGATTGCAAAGTGGATGAAGAGATTCCTATAATCTTAGGAAGACCATTCTTGGCCATGGGAAGAGCTCTGATTTATTGTGAGACTGGGGAGCTCAAGATGAGGCTTAATGATGAAGAAATAACATTCAATGTGCAGAAGTCTATGAGGCGACCAAGCGAGTTCGCCAATTGCTCTCTTATTGATGCCGTGGATGTAATAGTAGAGTCTGATGATGAGGTGTTGACTATTGAGGACCCCCTTTCTGCATGTTTGATGAACTTAGATGAAGTGAATGGGGAGGATCTAGCGGAATGGGTGTTGGCACTAGAAGGTAGAGGGTTCTGGGATAGAAATCTAGAATTTGAGCCCTTGCACTTAGAAAAAAGGGAAACTCCTCCAGCCAAGCCATCTATTGAAGAACCACCAAAGCTGGAGTTAAAGCCTTTGCCTGCCCACCTCAGGTATGAATTTCTGGGGCCTGACTCCACATTACCTGTTATTATCTCATCTAGCTTGTTAGATGTGCAGGCTCAACAACTCTTACAGGTACTAAGGGAGTGCAAAACTGCCATTGGGTGGACCATGGCAGACATCAAGGGGATCAGCCCCGCCTACTGCATGCACAAGATTCTGCTGGAAGAGGGTCACAAACCTTCCAGGGAACACCAGAGGAGGCTGAACCCAAACATGAAGGAAGTGGTGAAGAAGGAGGTAATAAAATGGTTAGATGCGGGAATTATTTTTCCAATCTCTGACAGCAGCTGGGTGAGCCCAGTTCAATGTGTTCCTAAAAAGGGTGGCATGACGGTTGTGAAAAATGACAACAATGAATTGATATCTACAAGAACCGTCACAGGCTGGAGAATTTGCATGGACTATCGGAAGTTAAATCTTGCCACCTGGAAAGACCACTTCCCACTTCCCCTCATTGATCAGATGTTGGACAGACTGGTAGGGAGGTCACGATNTCAAGTCGCTGATCATCTATCACGACTTGAGGGAGCTGAAAATGTAGTAGAGGTTGAGGAAATCCTGGAAACTTTTCCAGACGAGCAGCTGCTCGCCACCACTCATCAGGAAGCGCCATGGTATGCAGACTTTGCTAATTACCTGGCCAGTGGTATAGTTCCTCACGACCTCTCATCAGTCCAAAGGAAAAGGTTTTATCGTGAAAGCCGCCAGTATTACTGGGAAGAGCCTTATCTGTTTAAAATATGCCTTGATAATATGATCCGGAGATGCGTCCCCGAGATAGAGCAATTTTCTGTTTTGCAGGCTTGTCACGCATCGGCGTATGGTGGACACTTTGGAGGAGTTAGGACAGCGGCAAAGGTGCTAGAGGCTAGATTCTTCTGGCCAACATTGTTTAAAGATGCGCACCTATGGGTGAAGGGCTGCAATGAATGTCAGAGGACCGGGAACATTTCCCGACGCCAAGAGATGCCCATGAACCCAATTCAAGAGGTGGAGGTGTTTGACGTCTGGGGGATTGACTTCATGGGTCCCTTCGTCAGCTCCTATGGCAATAAGTACATACTTGTTGCTGTAGACTATGTGTCCAAATGGGTGGAAGCTGCTGCATTACCCACCAACGATGCAAAGGTGGTAGTGGGATTTTTGAAGAAGAACATATTCACCCGCTTCGGGACACCACGAGCAATTATCAGTGATGGAGGCACTCACTTCTGCAACAGAGCCTTTGAAAAGTTGCTTGCTAAGTATGATGTGCGTCATAAGGTAGCTACTCCTTACCACCCGCAGACTAGTGGACAGGTTAAAGTGTCCAATAAAGAAATCAAGAGTGTGTTAACCAAAACTGTGAACGCCACAAGAACTGATTGGGCGAGAAAGCTAGATGATGCACTCTGGGCTTACAGAACTGCCTTCAAAACTCCAATTGGTATGTCACCATACAAGTTGGTATTTGGGAAGGCCTGCCACCTGCCAGTGGAACTTGAGCATAAAGCGTGGTGGGCATTGAAGCAGCTAAACTTAGACATGGAAGATGCGGGCACAACAAGAATCACTGAACTGCATGAGCTCGAGGGGTACTGTTAGAGATGTATTGCACATGTAGGCTGGTAGACATAATAGAAGACAAAAGGCATGGAAGGTTGCCCCGATAGGTCTTATACGGGTTGTATGGAGAGAGAAATAGAAAGCTTTGAGGGAATTGAAAATGATTTTGTACACTCGAATAGCCTTTGTCTTTGATTGCTTTTTGGTGCTCCTTGAAATTCCCACTTGTATAGATGATTGAGTGTTTTCTGTAGAAAATCATACTTTGTTGTAGATTCTCTACTTTTTGGTATACCTTTTGTATACGGGAGTTTTCCCATTTTTTTAGTAATACCATTTACCTTATTATATGGCCAAACCATCTCAGCGACCTTCTCTCATTTTATCCTCAGTGCGTGCTACTTGAAGCTTCTGGCGAATGTGGTCATTTTTAATCTTATCTAATCTTGTATAACCGGACATTCAAAAATACATAAACATTAAGTTGACAATTTATATTCATCCTTTTAAGTTCATTAATTTATCACAACTCTCTCTCCATACTCATTCAAACGAGTAAACTAGTTATTGAAACTCACATGTATGGAAAATTTCCAAGAACGTAATCATCAAGTTATACTCTCTCGGTCCCATTTTATGTGACGGTATTTGACTACGCACGAAGTTCAAGAAATAAAGAAAGACTTATTAGAAAATCGTGTGTCACATAAAATGAGAGAAAGGGAGTATTATGTACCTTAAAGAAAAGCACAACATAACAACATATTCACCCAACTAGAACTCAAAGGCTCAAGGATTGCTTCTTGATGTGAAGGCGAAATTAAAAATAAACAGTAAATTAAGAAAAATGTAGAGAATAGTAGAAACTTTCTATTCCCTTTTCCTTCTATTTTTGGAGGCAGAAGTTAAGAGAATAAAAAGCTCATACAGCTGATAGGAGTGTAGTTACTGAGTGGTGAGCAACTGAACGTACTCCCTTTTTTTTCTTTGATAAAGTAAATAACCTTGTTCTTTTAACAAGAAAAGTAAATGATTTTATTAAAGTTGGGAGAAGAAAACTCATGTATACAAGTATACCAAAAAGTAGAGAACCTATACCAAACAATTGAACATACTCTTGTAAGAGCTTAGCACTAATTCTGATGAAACAAACCACATCTTCAGGCAATGAACAGATATTGCAGTAAATATTACATATGTAGATGACATTTTTCTAGTCACTAGAATCACCAGGTATTGATAATTGATAACAAATCTGCATATTATGCTTTGATCCATAATGGCCAGCACGCTAATTGGTGGTCATAGAAACATATCTGGAAAACTAAAATTCCATATAAGGTGGCCTGTTATGTGTGGCCTGGTAGCAAAAGAAGCTTGCCTGACACAGGAAATTTAAAGAGAAGGGGGATTAATCTATGTTCAAAATGTAATTTGTGTGGGAAGAAGCTAGAGAGCGGCAGCCATTTGTTTTTGCATTGTGGAATAATTGATCAATTTTGGCAGCTTTTCCTAAACGTGATAGGCATTACATGGATAATGCCAAGATCAACGAGGGAGTTGTCGGCATGTTAGAACAGTGTCAGACACAAGACAGATGGAAATTAATCCATGCATGCACATGGTAGACTATCTGGGAGGAAAGAAACTCAACATGTTCTGAAGATAGATATAGTTCTACCCAGAAGAACAAGATGAATTGCATTTTACTTTTTCATTTTTGGTGTAAAGAAACTTATACAGATGATTCAGTCTCTATTTTAGAAGCTTTAGAATTCTTGTAAGAAGAATCAATGATGAACTGGAGCTATCCTTTGTTTTGTAAATTTAGCCTCCAGCACTACCTTTGTGCTGAAGTTTATAACTTCTGTTACCTTTTTCTCAAACAAAAAAAAAACAAAGCTCTCCTAATTAATCTGTGATCTCCGATCTGGTTCCAAAGTAAAATTTGTGTAGAACAAACAACAAAAAGGTTGGCCACCATAATTCAAGTGCTGACTGATAACTTATTTTCTTTTTGTGACACTTAGTGCGACTCTTACAGTCTTACTCTGTAGAACCATCACTTCTCTCATAGATCAATAACATCAGTCCGATAAGTTTCTCTTGCTTTCTCTTTTAAGAAAAATGACAAAGCTATAACTACAATCATACTTTAAAAAAGCTACTTCTAACGAAGAAACAGAATATGGTACCTCCCACGAGAAAGGCTCGAGCCACAGATTATCCACAATATCGAAGTTTGGTAGAAGAAGAGCAATTAAACTCCGACCGGCAGCCCAAACAGCATGCGGAAACTTTGTTTCCATTGTCCACTACAAAAAATCAAATGAACAGTAAATTTCATGTTGTATCTCACATGAAGAGACAATAAAGATGCTTTCAGTATAGGCAGTATTAACTAAAGATAACTCAGCTCTACAAATTATAAAGCTGGTTAATCTTTTTTGCCACTAGTTCACAAAGTTACTGAACTACTAACAACGAGACTGAAGAATGCACTTGAAATCCCTGGCGCTTGAAATGCTTTTATTGATGAGAGGCCGATTCTTGATGTAGTTTTAATTGCTACTGAACTAACTGGTTCGAGAGAATTGAATGAAAGTGCTGGTAATAAACTTGGAAAAAGGGTAATGTGTCACACAAACGGAGTTCATTGATCGAAAGATGGGTTCCAAGAAAAATGGAGAAGCTGGATTAGTACTGCATATCTATTGTCAGATTCTCAATCTCCATTAATAATCCACTCTTTTTCTTTGAAAACTCTAGGGGTTTTTAGTGATGATGAAATATCAGTTATGCCTCTGACTTTGTGATGGGAGGCATAACCCTAGATAAAGCAGCAGAAGGTGAATATCTGAAGGGCCTCCAACCAGGACATGGGCAGGCTAAGTCTAGCAAAAGCTCACCTCCTCAAATATGATACCTTACTTGTTGTGTGATGCTGTTGAAAATGAACAGATAGAGTATACTGCTAGTAGCAAACAGTCTTGAGGCTGGTTAATCTAAAATGAATGTGACATCATCCAAGTTGGGAAGTGTAGTTTAACCACTTAAACAAATCCATGGGTTCAAGCTGAGTTAAATCCCACCCATCTATTTTCATCTTCCTTTGCTGCCACAAAGATGTTTAGGTGTGAAATCCATTACTTCATAAACTTAAGAATAAATGGACTTCTGGCAGAAAAAATACTAGTCCAAAGGAGGTAAAGCTGTCACTATTTTACAAGCACCTTAACTTGTTTACCTACCTACTATGTCCCTTTCTGTATTCTTGCTTCACTGGCAAAAGAATTTATCCGCTCTAGAATTTCAGAAGGGGTGGAACCTAGAGGTTTAAAAAAGTAGCATTTGGTTGGTATAAAGGTGATTGACTTAGAAGGTTAATATCATTTCTCAAATCTTTCTAAGTTTTACTATTCAGTATACCCCTGCAAAGTGCCTTAGGAATTCATCAAAGGATGATGCCAAGGGGTGTTCAACAACCGTTTTGTGATTGTCATAATTCTATTGATGTTATGGGAAATCCCACATACAAAACAATAGAGGACCTAGAGAAAATATGATTATCTTCTATAGAGATGGAGGAGAAATGTGAATCATAGAGCATAGAGTTTGGTCCCTCAAGTAACAACGTCGTCCATTAAAACGACTTACTTGGTGTTTGAAGGAAAAGAGAATTCTGCATTTCTTAACGAAGTGATTAATGTTTATACATATAGCACACACGATATTCCATCATGTAGAGATGATTCACTAGCTTTTTTAGAGCTTCAATAAAATCACCTATGATAAAGAGTGTCTTTTGATGTTCACAAATCAGTAAGACAAGATCATGTGCATCATAAAGAGAGCAGAAAATTCACAATTTTGTAATATCAAGGTGGAGAGTTGATGCAAGATCAAGAAAGCCCAGAATACAAGAAATTCAAGAAGTCCAAGAATCCAATTAAGATTAGGATTTCTTATTTCCTCTTTTAGTATGATTATATTTGTAGTTCTAGTCAAACTAGGATTATTAGTTGGTATTCCATTCCTACTAAAATTCCTTCTCCTATTTTAGTTAGAATAGGCTTTTCTTAACTTTATTCTTATTCTAGTTTAATTAGGATAAGTTTTTCATCTTATCAATTTTACTCATTGTAAGACCTATTTATAGGACTTAATATGCTAAAAATAAACATGGGTGATTAGTTTTTTTAAGCTCTTACTTCAAAAATGTGATTTGCTTTTTATTTCGTTGTTCTTCCTTTATTCAACGCTTCTTGCAATCTTGCGGGATTGAAAAACGTGTGCGTGAGGTTTCTTTTCATCTTATATTCTTCTAACGTGAGTTTGAAGAACGCTTCCGCTAGTTTTGTGAAAAACTTTAGCGGGCTGCTTTTGTTTTTCTCTCTTCTTTGTGCTTGAGAGGTGCAAAACCTTGAAAGTACATCAAGATTCTCAAAATCACATTTACCAGCACAGAAAACTCGGTTTTATATTCCGTTGAATCACTTTTTGGATAGTGCTGCTGGCTGCAGCAAAACAGCTCCTCCAGTTTTGGAAAGTGAAGGGAGTGGCAACCAAGGGGGCAGCACCAGGAAAATAGCCCAACATGTACTCATGCATGGGCATTAAGGAGCAATTGGAAGGCTTCCCTTCCACCTTGCGAAACTTTGCTCTTCCTTTCCTTGTTTGCCCTAATTTTCATGGATTTCCCATGATACTGCAGCCTTGTACAGACGATTCATTAAACTTTACGTATATGGTCGTTGTTAGAGGCTTCTCTACTTGTTACATTCTTATAATCAGCTTACGTGATCAGACGGAAACTGAGAATCCTACAAAAATAATTCCAGGAGAAATGCCCTAATGATCTAGAAAAGACAAAACGGTAATGACAAAAAAAGTTGTGCAATTACAATATAGTGAAAGGATATTATGATCTAGGGAAAGGTTTCATTTCCTAGTATATCAAGAGGAACAATCATCACTCGAATAAAAAATATATGATATATAAACTGAACTTATAAATGAAAAGACATAAACAGGAAGCATAAGTATAGCTTTACACCTAACTGGGGTCAAGGAAATACAGTAGCAGCGTACAGGATGTCTAATCATTCATCAAAAAATGCATACTGATAAAGGAAATAAAAATGGGAATGCTTACATCAAGAGGAGGATTTAGCAATTCGATTCCATTGCTTATTTGACCATAAGGCTCCATCAGATCAACAACATTTTCTAGATCCTCTTTCGTTAATGTCAATCCAAGATGATTCACCAGCATTCTGCTTAATTGCTTTACAGCTTTGGTCTTCCTTAACCATTTCGGGACAAGGCTGCTGAAGGTCTGCCGAACAGCAAACCCAATTATCCAGTTGAGAAAATGGCTAGTGAAGAGGACAAAAGTAAAAATTCTTCTTTTTTATGCGGAGAATCTCAGTGATGAAGCTTTTGAGAGATGTTATGCAGTATATACATAACAATTGAAGAAAACAAGTGTATTGAAAATCAGCCCATGGTAGCTGAACATGGTGAAACTCTATATTTTACAGAGAAACTTCATCAAGTTCAGCTTCCCAATCCTTTGCAAATCGCTCAATATAGCAGTACTAGATTTTTTTCATCATAAGATTGGTTTTACAAAATGCGTAATTGTTTTCAAAAAAAAAAGAATTGATTTTAAGAGATTTGTTCTCATGAAGTTCAGGATTTTAGATGTATATCATCACCAGAATGATGATGTCATGGATGTGCCCTTTGACCATGTTCTTGAAATTCTCAGAATCTTCAAATACATGTCTAGTCTACAAAAGAGCAACGAGATCCATGGTAATCTCATCTTCCCCCTTTTCTATTTCTCTCAGTAGACTCGCGGATATCATTGTTTCTTATTCGCCTTTAATTATGAGCTTTCAGTTCTAACATAATGTCATGAGATTCCTAGGCAGCTAGAGCCAATTCTGATGCAGCAGGCTTTATAGGTTAGATAAGCGAGAATGTTACTACCACAACCTTTATAGACACCATCAGATTTTCATTTCAAGATGTAAAAAGCCCAATTAGTCACCAGCTTTTAGAATAATTATTCACTGGAGATAATGTGTTAACAAGAAGTTCAAGCCCTGTATTTGCAACATTATTCAAAGTATTACCATGACCACTATGTGCAAAGAGCTGAGCTGCTCAGGAAAGTGAACAACGGACAACAACATAGATGAATAAAGTATCTCATATTATAGGGAGTGAACATCAGAACAAAAATCAGTCTTGTCTAATGGAATGTGCGTTAGAATATGGAGACGAAGCTAATTGACATCCTTTTATAGATGCTTTTTATAGTTTTCTCCACACCATACACTGAATGTCGTGGTTATCAAAAACCTTTAGGGTAGATTGCATATTTTCATAAATCAGTCCAATAGCTGCAAAATTTGAAATTTTAGCCAGTCAAAATTATTCAAGAGTACACATAATGTCGTTATTTAGAAACAATAGGCAACAACCTATGCAATTCACACCCCCAAAGCAAGAAGATGGGAGCAATTACCTTTTCAAGCAATGACCCAAAGCATAATGTGTTTCTATCCAGACTCAGATATACTGGCCCTCTAAAATATGTATTTCATGGTTATTAGGATAGAAAACAGATGCTCATAATTTGCCAAGTTTATTCTCTTTTACTGGGTAGACAACAAATAAGAGTATGCATTTTGTTCAGGAGCTCCAATCAAATGAAATATTTGCATTATTCCAACAATCATATCCCATGACTTAACTACCATACCTGGAATATACTCTCACAGCCTATTTCAGGATACTGTTAGCTGTCTCTCTTTTTTTCGGATAAGGTAAGTGAAATGTCATTAAAAGGCATCACGAAGATGCACAGATTACAAAAGAGGGAAGATGTCAGCTCTAATACCAAAAAAAACTATCATAAGGCTAAGGAGCTGACAAAATCCAGTAACATATCAGAGTTATTTACAGGGGAAAGTTTCACCCAACTAAAAAGGTTAACCAAACATTTAGCTTTCAGGTGACTTCTAGGAGTTGAAATACCATCAAAACAACTGCTATTTCTTTCAATCCAAATACACCAACTGTTAGCTGTCTCATATTAGAAAGTTCTTTCACTAAGCAGCGCTGTTTTTATTTCATGTTAAAGTACTTTACTTCCTCGAAATGGAAAATTGTGTTCTCTCTACTTCTGGATCCCTTCACGTTCAAGTATAGAAAGCTTAATTATCTGAAGATTCAATGAAAATGGCTGAATTAATACTGATATAATTAAAATGGCTTTAGTAATACTTCTCGATGCAGCCGTTTCACTAATAAAAACGGGTCATACTGCTAACAACTATAAAAACTGACTGGCAAAACACTTTAAACTGAAGGGGAATGAGAAAGGACAGGCAACAGGATTTGAATGCTGAAACCACCAGAAAACTCCATGAGAGAGCTGCCTGAAGCTCAAGAAAGCAGGAAACTTCTAAAAAACACGAATGAAAAGGGAACAACGGGGAGCAAACCCTAGAGGAAGGACGAACAACCCGTGCTTTTCTGAAGCCACAGAATTTCACAAGTTGCCTGAAGCTTGAGATAAAACTTCGAATAAACAAGAAATGAAAGCGAAAGAAGGGCAGCGAACCCCTAAGGGAAGGTTGTAAGACCTGGGTTCTTCTTCCTTCAGGCCACAACCTAGGCAGCAAGCTCCTAATGTGTTTGCTAGCAATCTTAATAGGGAGGTGGGCCTTATGGGGTCACAAAATCAGGTAAATACAAGGAGAAAGAAGGTATTAGGACTAGAAACTAGAAAGGGAGGGATGAAGAAGGAGCTTCGAGGACAGCCTTTAAGGGCAATAACTGGGGGCAGTAGTCAAACTCCATGTTGGAGTTAGAAACTAGAAAGAGATGCTTCAGTTGGAGTTAGGTGGGGGTATTGAGGTGGGTATACGGGGTTGCAGGGGAAAAGTGATGGAGTTAGGGGAGCAACATAACCACAATGCCTTTCGATCTGCGGCGAGCAAACCCCAACAAACCACTTCAGGATACTCACCTCCATGTGTTGTCAAGTAGCCTCCCAAAGTTCCAACGCCGTCGATGTGTCAGATCTTTTATATGGGTGTTTCCCCATCATTAATAAAATTATTTTATCTTATCAAAAAAAAATTCCAATTGCATTCTTGATTAAAAAAAATGATTCAATTGCATTTCAGCTTTTTTCCTTGATGTCTACACATCGTTAAAGTGCACATAACACGCCCTATTTTACATAAGGAGTAATTAGTGCACTTAATGTACCCTTGTTACATAAGGAGTAATTTATGAACTGTATTGGCATGCAAAGCAAAAACAAAATGCCACGGAGGTAGTACTAGGCAAGTTATAGTAAACACATGCAGTGGACGAACATTTGACTCCCCAAAGTGGAAAAGATAAATCCTAATTACAGAAGCATAACAACCAATAGTGGAAGAGGAAGTGTGCACAGATAAATATGCTGGAAAGGAGCTTGAAGTACATGCTGATATAGTGCAGTAAAGTAGCTGGTATTGGCAGTAATTACCGCGAACCAGCTGCAGTAGGTCATAAGCTCATCTATGTCCAGGAATTTGCTTCGAAAGGCACTACCTTCCAAGGCCACGGGAACAAGTTTCAGTTCACTTGGACGCAAAAGAGCTGTTTTCTCTGCAACCTGTTAGGCAAAGTAGCAGTTTTATAAAATATCAGTACTAAATTTGACAAAGCTCTTCTGCTCTGCATTTAACATTTAACAACAATAACTTCTAAACAAGTTGAGAACAGCAGAAGAAAGCAAAGCATAATCAACATAAGATTTGCAAACTATCACTGTTAATTTTCGGAGTTATCAGTCTAGCTCAGGTATTGTGATCTCACAGCGGAAGTATGCCTTAGACATTCTTGAGGAGACAGGAATGACAGGCGGTAGACCCGTTGACACTCCGATGGATCTGAATTCTATACTTCTGCCAGGACAGGGGGAGCCGTTTAGCGACCCTACAAGATATAGGTGGCTGGTTGGTGAACTAAATTATCTCACAGTGACTAGACCTGACATTTCCTTTCCTGTGAGTGTTGTAAGTCAGTTTATGGATTCTCCCTGTGATAGTCATTGGGATGCAGTTGTCTGCATTCTTCGGGTATATAAAATCGGCTCCAGGAAAAGGGTTATTGTTTGAGGATCGAGGTCATGAGCAGATCGTTGGATACTCAGATGCTGATTGGGCAGAATCACCTTATGATAGACGTTCTACGTCTGGATATTGTGTTTTAGTAGGAGACAATTTGGTGTCTTGGAAGAGCAAGAAACATAATGTAGTTGCTTGGTCTAGTGTAGAAGCAGAATATCGAGCAATGGCTATGGCAACTTGTGAGATAATTTGTATCAATCATCAAACAATTGCTCAAGGAGTTGAAATTTGGTGAAATCAGTCAGATGGAACTTGTGTGCGATAACCAAGCTGCCCTTCATATTGCATCAAATCTGGTGTTCCATGAGAGGACTAAACACATTGAGATTGACTGTCACTTCGTCAGAGAAAAAATACTCACAGGAGATATTGCTACAAAATTTGTGAAGTCAAATGATCAACTTGCTAATATTTTCACCAAGTCCCTCACTGGTTCTCGTATTAGTTATATATGTAACAAGCTCGGTACATACGATTATATGCATCGGCTTGAGGGGGAGTGTTACTTTGTTAGTTAAATAGTTATATGTAAATAACCCTAATCTCATATTCAGTAGGAGTAGAACATGTATTATATACATAGGACTCATTGTATTATTGTCAATATATCAATAATATAATTTTCGGAGTTATTAATTCTCACAATCACTAAGTTGTGACACTGAAATTTTTAATACAAATCATGCAAAACTATCAAACTAGGTTTAAATTATCGTTGTTGACAGACTTCCACAAAATTGTAATCATTTCTAGTTCAGATAATCAGGTATCCAAGTCAACAGAGTTTAGAATACACCATCATCCCCATACATGATCTAGGATGATTCTCATGCCCTATATGATCAAGAAGTTTTTCAAATTAGTAAGGAGCTGTCCAATAGCCTGTTTGGCCAAACTTATCCAAAGCCAAAAGCACTTCTTTTTATAAAAAGAAGTGCTTTTTTTCAAAGTTGAAGTGTTTGCCAAGCTTTTAGAAGAAAAAAAAGTGCTTTTAAGTAGAAGCAGAAAAAAGTAGCTTCTCTCCAAAAGCACTTTTTGAAAAGCACTTGATAAATGAACCTTGAGTCTAACTCAACCCCAAAAGCTAGCTTATGAGGTGAGGATTACCCAAGACCATCTAAGGAGACCAAGAACTTCAAATCCAACCGATGTGGGACAACTCAACACCCCCCCCCCCCTCCTCACGCCAGGCCGGCAAACTGGAGCGTGGACAACATAAATGGGGGGCCAACACGGGGTAACATAATTGGGATCAACCTGATAAATGAACCTTGGGCCTAACTCAACCCCAAAAGCTAGCTTATGAGGTGAGGATTATCCAAGACTATATAAGGAGACCAAGGACCTCAAATCCCATCGATGTGGGACAACTCAATAGCACTTTTTGAGAAAATTACACTTAGAAGCATTTTTTAAAAGCTTGGCCAAACCCTAGTTGTTGCTCAGAATGTTTTTCAAATTAATTAGCCAAACACAAACTGCTTTTCACCAAAAGTACTTTTGAAAAAAGCATTTTTTAGAAAAAGCACTTTTCAAAATAAGCTGATTTTTCTAGCTTGGCGAAACAAGCTACTCCCTCCGTTCCAATTTATGTGAACCTGTTTGAACGGGCTTTAAGAAAAAATGAAGACTTTTGGAATTTGTGGACCTAAACAAGTCAAAAAGTGGCCCACAGTATTTGTGTGGTTATAAAAGCTTCTCATTAAGGGTACAATTGTAAGTTTAAGCTAAATTATTTTCAAATTTAGAAAGGGGTCATTCTTTTTTGAACGGGCCAAAAAGGAAATAGGTTCACATAAACTGGAACAGAGGGAGTATAAGAATTGCTTCCAGAGTTTACTTATCAAAAAAAAAAAAAAAAAAAAGAGAAAGTGCTTTCGGAGTTTGAAGTAGCCTGAGCTTCTCTTTAATTCATTAAACTTGAAGGGCAGGCCTATATGATTCTGTGACAAAAATGATAATTGATGAGCTCTACAAGAGTAGGGTCTGCAGACCAAATAAGTGCACCTTTCTCCAATCTACAAAATCTATAAGTTCTTCATCCATAGTTCCTTTTGCAGCTATCGTAAGTATCTTTTCTCTTTCTGCTTGAGTAGGCCGCTGAAGACGGAATATCCTATCCATCCGACCAGGACGTTGCAACGCCTCATCGATTTGCTTGAGATTTCTAGTAGTAGCCATCAAGACCACACCATCCTGTTTTTCAAACCTGCAACATAAGATGGTATGAGAGAACAGTAAGAAACTAAACATGAAGATGCATTTATTATTTATTTCAATCAATTTAGATTATGCTTTGACCAATTACGAGGTAACAATGACCTGAAGTATGTCCTAGTTACAGTTTACAATATGTGAGAATCCTAGAAGAACAAAATAAAGCACAAAACTTATGTCCTTGCTTGCAACATAAACGTTTTGGATATATTATTTAAAAACTATTACTACAACAAATAAGGAGATCAAAATTTGTTTGTCCTAAGCAAGATCAAGTGTGACAAGTTTATTTCCTGCTGGTATAAACAAATTGGCATTCCTAAAATCATAGTGGCACCACTTACAGGCCTGCAAGTTTTGCAGACAATTGAATAGAATTTTTTTTAAAATCCTCTGAGCACCAACAGGGCCATGAATTTACTAATATGAGTGCGGATTAGCCTGATATTCCAAAATATCAAGGAAGCCACAGAATGCATTTCACCGGCACAGAGAAAACAAGGAAGACACAGAATGTATTTTCCAACTAGCTCATGAGGCGAGGGACCACAGACAACACCATTAACCCACATGAGACTCGACCTGAGTATAAACTGCATTATTATATCTAATAGTGATGAAGAATGCATTTCACCGGCACAGAGAAAACAAGGAAGACACAAAAGCAGGATGATGATGAAAAAAAGAAAAAGAACATTATGTCTTAATATGATGTAATGATAAGAAGACTAGAAAAGGGAGTAATGACCAATGTAAGAACACTCGTTATATGAATTAGAATGTTTACTTCTTATTACAATTTGTTTTAAGGAAATTCAATGGAGAATTTCACGTAGCTAGATGAATACTAAAGTTACTCTTATAAGGGTAAGGCATTGTTTCGTTCATCATTGTAGGTTGCTTACATGGAACACAAAATCTGAACTCCATCTAACTTGTTGGCATGAAATTGGTCAAGATAATCACCCAAGAGAATGGACATACCTCATTGTAGGTATATGCTGCAAACCTAAACCAAATAGGTTGCCATGTTCCTTCTTTAACGGATTAAACTTCAAATTATATGGTAGACACAATTCAATTTGGTATCAAAGTGGCAGAGGCCCTACGTTCGAGTCTCACCACAATACATCAACAATAGATGTGCTGGGCTCAAGAAAAAGAATTAGGTTTGTCGATTAGCATAATTCAAGGAGATATGCTTATCTTTAGGAGATTGTTGATTAGCATGATTTCAGGAGAATTAGGTTTGTTACTTTCATTGATTGCTGCACTAAGATGACTTGGGTACATTTGTTAAAAGCCAAAAATGAAATTTTCTCTTGTTTTTAATCATTTCATAAACTCAGTAAGATGCCAAAATAAAAATCTTCAGAACTGACAATGGCAACAAATTCATGGATAAAAGATTTGGTACTTATTTGGAATCCAATGGGATCATCCATCAGACTAGTTTTCCTCATACTAGTGCACAAAATGGGGTCACGGAAAGAAAAAATAGGCATTTATTAGAAGTAGCAAGATCTCTTATGTTCACCATGCATCAACCAAAATCTTACTAGGACGATGCTATTCTGGTGGTTGCCTATCTTATTAACAGAATGCCACTTAAAACCCCCAACTTTCAAAGTCCTCTGGAAGCTTTAAAGAGTAAGAATGAATATATTGTTCCACCAAAGGTGTTTGGGTGTGTTTGCTTTGTCCACACTACGAATTCTGTGAAACTTGATCCTAGAGCTATAAAGTGTTATTTTGGGTATACTCCAACACACAAACGTTACAAATGTTATCATCCTCCCTCTAGGAGATCTTTCGTTAGCATGGATGTAACTTTCGAGAATCTGAGCCCTATTTAAGTATTACATCATCACCTCTTCAGGGGGAGAGCAGTAAAGAGGAAGAGGTGATTCTACCTAGTACCATTAATGGATCTCTTGATGACATTGTCACATGGGAAAGGGAAATTGGAGAAAGAATTCAAGGAGAGACTATTGGGCGTTTGGATAGGCCTGACTTGAAAACTTACTCAAGGAGAAATAAAACCGAAGAAGCCATCATGCAATCTACCGAAGCTGAACCTTGTTCTACCGGTGAGTTTGTTGATTAGCATGATTCAAGGAGACTTGATTTAGGAGTGTTGATTAGCATGATTTCAGGAGATTTGATTATATTTAGGAGATCTGATTTTATTTTGATTTGATTTGATAGTTAGATTGATTGTATAGATTTATTTTATTTCCTTAATTAGCATTAGGAGCTTTGTATAAATTACCTTGCTCATGGGATGTAAACATACACATAAATACAAGAAGCCTTTTCTTCTTCTCAAAATCTTCAGAGTTATCTACATTTTCTAATGAGTTAGATGTGCCTATTGCTCACAGAAAAAAAGTCGGATCTTGCACCACCAAACACCCTTTATCTAATTTTGTCTCCTATTCTTTGTCTCCCTTCTATAGAGCTTTTGCCTTGTCTATTTCATCTGTGTCTATTCCCCAGAATTCGAGGGAAGCTTTTGCAGATCCTAAATGGAAGCAAGCAATTATTGAAATAATGAAGGCCTTTTCAAAAAATAAGACTTGGAACTTGTCACTTCACCGTCAGACAAGAAGTTGGTTTGGTGCAAATGGGTCTTCACTGTGAAGCCCAAAGCCGATGGTTCAATTGAAAGATTCAAAGCAAGATTGGTGGCTAAAGGATTTACTCAGACTTATGGAGGGGAATAGCAAGAGACATTTGCCCCTGTTGCTAAGATCAACATTATTAGAGTTCTTTTGTCTTGTGCAGCTAATGTTGATTGGGACTTGCAGCAGTTTGATGTGAAAAATGCATTTCTTCATGAAGACTCGGAAGAAGAAGTGTATATGGAGATTCCTCCTGGATTTGATATTGCCCAAAGTCAAGGAAAGGTATGCAGATTGAAGGAAGCCTTATACGGACTGAAGCAATCCCCAATAGCTTGGTTTGACAGATTCAGCAAAGCAATGATCTCTTTTGGTTACCAACAAAGCAATGTTGATCACTCCCTTTTCATAAGACATCAAACGGGTAAACTCACTCTTCTCATATTTTATGTTGATAGTGTTAGTTTGATAGTTAAATAGTAGTAAATAACCCTAATCCCATATGTATTAAGAGTATGACATGTATAATATATATAAGGCTCATTGTATCATTGTCATTATTAATGAAGAATATTTTCTCCCGTGTATCAGAGCTTTGGTGAGAATAGATCGCTGTGCGTCATTCCAGCGACATCCGGGAAGAAAGAACTCAGTCACCGTGAGATTTTCCGGTGACCTAAGTGACTATTTGCGTCAAAGTCACTAATTATCAGTGTTGTGCAAAATACAATACCACCAAAAGGTCCCAAAGAGATAGGCGACCAAACCCCAGAAAAAACCACCTGAAAACACTCAGCCACGCGCCCCCACGCGCCTGCCGGAGTTCCGCCGCGTCTGTCCCACGCGCCGGCGGGTGAGGGTTGTTCCGGCTAGAATTTCAAAAAGTTTCTTTTGAACAGTGTAATCGCCTTGCTTTTCCGAGCCTACCCTTCAAGTTTACATCAGATTCCGACGACTTTTTTATTTTCCAGCGAGCTACAGTGTTTCCGGTGAACAGTAACAGTGAAACAGTGATTTCCAAACAATTTTCTGAGCTTTTCCGGCGTGAACATTATAATGTCATTCTTATTAGAAGCCTTAGACTCACAATTCGTTGGATAGAATGCATTAAATCCAATCCAGATGGTTTCTTTACCAGATTATATTGAGCTCCTTCAGTACAAAGCACGTAAACAAACATCTTCAGGATTAGCCTCCATTGTTCCAACAAATAGTAGCATGACTGGTGTCTCCCAATCTTCACCTTCTGAGTCTTGGGTCATTGATTCAGGTGCATCTGATCATATTTTTGGTAACAAATCTCTTTTCACTAGTATCTCATATTCTCAATCGCTTCCAACAGTCACAATGGCCGATGGGTCTCAAGCCATGGCAACTGCAATAGGTCAAGCAAGTCCACTTCCTTCCTTACCTGTTTCCCCACTTACCTTTGTTCTCTCTTCCAACCCGTGTCTTTGGGAGTACGTGCTTTGTTCATGACCTTACTCCAGGAAAAGATAAGTTAGCTCCTCGTGCTCTTAAGTGCAAATTCTGGGTTACTCAGGAACACAAAAGGGATATCGATTTATTCTCCTGACCTTCAGCGATTTCTTATGTCTGCTGATGTTACCTTCTTTAAAACCCAATCATACTTCACAGGTCCAGTTAATCACTTAGATATTTCTGAGGTGCTACCCGTTCCTTCTTTTGGAGATTCAGTCCCTATCTCCCATTCATCTTCCTCCATAGCTCCACCGCCTACAGTTCCGCCTATAGCTCCAGTACCACCACCTAGTCCAGTTCCACCAACTATAGCTCCAGTGCCACCACCTAGTCCAGTTCAACCTTCTACAGCTCCACCACTCCTGACTTATCATCGTCGTCCGCCCCCAGCATCAGGCCCAGCTGATTCATATCCTGCACCTGACCCTGCTAATACTGCGGACTTGTCTCCTCTTAATCAACCGATTGCACTACGAAAAGGTATACGGTCCACACTTAATCCTAATCCTCATTATGTCGGTTTAAGTTACCATCGTCTCTCATCGTCCCACTGTGCATTTGTGTCATCTTTGTCCTCTATTTCCATCACCAAGTCTACAGGTGAAGCACTGTCTCACCTCGGATGGCGACAGGCTATGATTGACGAGATGTCTGCTTTAATCGACTGTTGGTTGTCGTTGGGTGTATGCAGTCAAGGTTGGTCCAGATGGCCAGATTGATCGACTTAAGGCTCGTCTTGTTCCAAAGGATATACTCAGATATTTGGACTCGATTACAGTGATACTTTCTCTCCCGTGGCTAAAATTGCATCAGTCCGCCTTTTTCTATCCATGGCTGTTGTTTGCCATTGGCCTCTCTATCAGTTGGATATTAAGAATGCTTTTCTTCACGGTGACCTTGAGGATGAGGTTTTTATGGAGCAACCACCTGGTTTTGTTGCTCAGGGGGAGTCTAGTGGCTTGTATGTCGGTTGCGCCGGTCCCTCTATGGTCTAAAGCAGTCTCCTCGAGCCTGGTTTGGTAAGTTCAGCACGGTTATTCAGGAGTTTGGCATGACTCGTAGTGAAGCTGATCACTCTGTATTTTATCGACATTCTGCTTCAAATCTCTGTATTTATCTGGTCGTTTATGTTGACGATATTGTTATTACCGGCAATGATCAGGATGGTATTAGTAAGTTGAAGCAACATCTCTTTCAGCACTTTAAGACTAAGGATCTGGGCAGATTAAAGTATTTTCTGGGTATTGAGGTCCCTCAGTCTAGCTCAGGTATTGTGATCTCACAACGGAAGTATGCCTTAGATATTCTTGAGGAGACAGGAATGATAGGTTGTAAACCTGTTGACACTCCGATGGATCCGAATTCTAAACTTCTGGCAGGACAGGGGGGGCCTCTTAGCGATCCTGCAAGATATAGGCGGTTGGTTGGTAAATTAAATTACCTCACAGTGACTAGAGCTGACATTTCCTTCCTGTGAGTGTTGTGAATCAGTTTATGGATTCTCCCTGTGATAGTCACTGGGATGCAGTTGTCCGCATTCTTCGGTATACAAAATCAGCTACAGGCAAAGGCTTATTGTTTGAGGATCAAGGCCATGAGCAGATCGTTGGATACTCAGATGCTGATTGGGCAGGATCACCTTCTGATAAACGTTCTACGTCTGGATATTGTGTCTTAGTAGGAGGAAATTTGGTGTCTTGGAAGAGCAAGAAACAGAATGTGGTTGCTCGGTCTAGTGCAGAAGCAGAATATCGAGCAATGGCTATGGCCACATGTGAGCTAATTTGGATAAAACAGTTGCTCAAGGAGTTAAAATTTGGTGAGATTAGTCAGATGGGACTTGTGTGTGATAATCAAGCTGCTCTTTATATTGCGTCAAATCTAGTGTTCCATGAGAGAACTAAACACATCGAGACTGACTGGCACTTTGTTAGAGAAAAGATACTCTCGGGAGATATTGCTACAAAATTTGTGAAGTCGAATGATCAGCTTGCTGATATTTTCACCAAGTCCCTCACTGGTCCTCGTATTAGTTACATATGTAACAAGCTCGGTACATATGATTTATATGCACCAGCTTGAGGGGGAGTGTTAGTTTGATAGTTAAATAGTAGTAAATAACCCTAATCCCATATGTATTAGGAGTAGGACATGTATTATATATATAGGGCTCATTGTATCATTGTCATTATTAATGAAGAATATTTTCTCTCGTGCTTTCTCACAGATAGCATAATAATAACAGGAAATGACAAAGAGGAAATGGCCTGATTAAAGAAATTTTTGGCATGAATTTGAGATCAAGGATTTCAGAAAATTGTAGTCTTTCTTGGGAATTGAGGTTGCTAGATCAAAAAGAGGAATTTTTATTTCCCAAATGGAAGTATATTCTGGATCTCTTGAAAGAAACTGCTATGACAAGTTGCAGATCCGCAAAATCGCCCATTGAAAGCAATCACAAGTTACAAAGCGGAGCTGGAGTGTCAGTTAATAAGGAAAGATATTAGAGGTTGGTTGGAAGACTCATTTGTCTCTCCCACACTAGACCAGACATAACATATTCAGTTAGTCTGGTGAGTCACTTCAAGCATGATCCCCGAGATCCTCACATGCAAGTTGTCTTTTACGTTTTGCGGTATCTGAAGTCTGCTCCCGGGAAAGGTCTACTTTTTTCCAAATATGATCACCTCCAAATAGAAACCCTTAGAGACGCGGATTGGGTTGGATCTCTAGATGACAGAAGATCTACATCTGGTTATTGTATGCTTGTAAGAGGAAACTTGGTTTCTTGGAGAAATAAGAAGCAAAGTTGTAGTTGCTAGATCAAGTGCAGAGGCAGAATACAGAGCTATGGCCTAGGGTGATTGAGAACTGCTTTGGCTACAAAAGCTATTAGAGGAATTGAGACTGTCTGAAAAAGGAAAACATTCCTTGTAATCTAACAATAAGGCTGCCATCAGTATAGCTCATAACCTAGTCCAGCAAGACCGAACAAAGCATATGAAAATTGACCGACACTTCATCAAAGAAAAAGTTATAACTGGTGTCTTGAGTTTGTTTTATGTGTCATCGGAAAAACAACTATCTGATATGTTTACCAAAGGTCTCAACAAGCGAACTTTCCATACATTGAGTTGCAAGTTGGGCATGTGCGACATATTTGGACCAACTTGAGGAGGAGTGTTAATTAGCATGATTCAAGAAGATTTATTATATTTTGGAGATTGTTCGATTAGCATGATTTTAGGAGATTTGATTTTATTTGATTTGATTTGATAGCTGGATTGATTGTACAGATTTATTTTATTTCCTTAATAAGCATTAGGAGCTTTGTATAAATTCACTTGCTCATGTGATATAAACACATACAGAAATACAAGAAGCATTTTCTTCTTCTCAAAATCTACAAGGTTCGCACATGAGAAACCGTATGGCAAGCCTAATATAAACAAGTTAAGTTTTTTAATATTTTAAAATGTTATATGAGATGGTAGACACAACTCAACAATGTAAAAGAAGATACAGTTGAAAATTTAGAACAATTAGTAAATAATAAAAGCTCTTCCTAGAAGAATTGACAGCTAGTAAATCATATCCACCCTTATTTTCCTTATGACAGCCGAGAAATCTCCTATGGACGGCCACCCCAACATCAGTTGACCCACAAGTTTAAAACTCGATGAAGTATGGCTCCCCTTACCCTGCTCCCACTTAAATGTTAGGCTCCTCGTGAAGATAACGTGTGCTCTATCCACACATACAATATTGCGTCTTACCACTGAATCAAAGCCCTGGGTGCTCTTATATAACTATTATATAAGAGGAGCTGGGTAACTCAACAATAGCTATATGAGGCCATTTGCCTGAGGTATGATTTACATCAACATGATGCTTGTCTGTTGCTGCAATATCTGAACTTTTTAAGAACATGAGAATACACTTACCCATCAAGTTCCACCAAGAGTTGATTGATGAAGGCTTCATGGTCCTGCTTTTTAGTGTGGATAAACTTCCCTCTGACTCCAGCAAAGAGGTCAAAATCCTCCACAAATATGATTACAGGGGCCTGAACAGGATAATGACGTAAGCAGATATCACCACAGAAAAACAGCTCTGAAGAATGCACCAGATGTGTTCCTTGAAATCATACTCTATATTACTCCTCCAGTATTGTTGGCTTTTCACTCAGTCAGTCAAGTAAAAATCATAAGATTAAGCCACAAAAAGGTTCCACCCCGGTAAGCTTTTGCCAACTTTCTTATTATCTCTTGCATAAAATTAATAATAGTTGCAGTTCAAGATAAGCCATGTTTTACTTGATTTCCTTTCAATGAAAACATGCACAGAAACAAAATCAATCAGCTTTTGTCAGTTCGTGCAAAGAGAGAAGTGTCTTTATCCATTATCCATGCTATATCAGCAGCCAATTTCAACAAGACCCTTTTCTTTTTCTTTTTCTTTTTTAGAATAACGGCAAGAAGTTGCAGATGGACACCATAACCAGGTATTTGGAATTGTTAGGAGAGGCAATACACAAAGAAACCAGACTCACCAGATCACGTGCTGTTTGAAACAGCTCTCTAACATTTGATGCACTTTGGCCAACCCATAAACCAGCCTCTAACTGCTGGGCTTTAACTTCAACAAGAGGCACCTTAGCTTCTGCTGCAATTGCTAGTGCTAGGGATGTCTTTCCAGTTCCTCTCTCCCCTACAATAAGAACTCCCTGTCATATCACACATGAAATAGAACTTAGTGCAAGCATAAAGCATCGTTTTAGCTTTAACACGTGTTGTGGATACGCATCCATACTCACCCACGCTCACACAAACAATGCTACAGTGGTTTTTTTTGTGATTGGGATTATGTGCTGGTAATTATATCAATACATCCCACAACATGATATGGTGGTAACCTTTTACAAGAACCATTGTTAATCGTACAGTAGATTGGCCATATATTACTCATTATGGTACAACTCTACCATTATATCTATAGCAATAACATGACGTTCATCGGCGTAATTATATCACTTTGACAAACTCTGCAAGTTCTTTCATTCTTTTTACTTTATTAAAATTGAGGATTGCCAAAAGAATGTCCTGTAAAATTGGTGCACAATAACCAAATTCAATTCTGAAATTTAGATGCTTTTTGTTCTCTCCTTTTTCTGTTTGTCATAGAAGTAGCAAAAGTTACCAAATGTCAACAATTTTATGACAACTTACAACATGACCAAGCTTATGGAGGCTTACAAGATCTTCCCAAGAAGACTTGAAGGCTCACAATAGGCTAAATTGGAGATTCAAGTGGTGGATTTGCAAGAAATGGCCCAATTGCTTGCTCTAGCCGGCTTAATTGCACATTTTAGTCATAATTTAGTTAAGTAGTGGCTAATTTTATAATTAGGAGCTAGCTATTATAAGGAGCAGCTCAGCCCTCATTTCTCCTTAGATTGGATGATGAAAGAAATGATGTCTCTTTATTTCCTTTTAAGTATTTATGTTTATCTTAATTTCTTTCTTTAATTTGAGGATATTAAGTTTTAACTTGTGAGTGATTAGTTTTGTGAGAGATTTATGGTGATTGGTGAAAACCCCAATGTTGCCTTTTGACTTGCCCTTGGATTTGCAAGAGGAAGCATTTTTCTTCAGGATCCAAATTGCCTAGGTGTTTGTTCTTGATTCTGATAGAAAATAATTAGGAATCTTCTCATCTAATCATTGTCTATTACTTCATTGCTTGCTTGTATCAATCTTGTATCCTTATTTTCTTTCCTGTTTTCCATATCCATGTTCTTGACATTGATTCATATCATCTTGATACCAAGATGATAACAAACAAGGACGGAAACATGGATAAGGAAATTCAACAAGGAATCAAGTCTAGAAGTTAATTAGACTAAAGAAAGCCTAATCAACTCAAAGAACAATTAATGAAGCACCTAAACTATGGAAATCCTCAAGAGATCAGGACTCTTGCAAATTCCTGGACAAAGTTAATCAAGCAGTGCATTAATTCACTACTAAACACTCACAATCTATACATTAATTAAGCTCAAATTGAAGGAAACAATTAAGATAAATATAAATACATAAATTCAAAAATACATAAAAGGAAATAAAGAGACATCATGTCTCTCATCATCAAAGTCTAAGGAGAAATGATAGCTATGCTACTATTTATAGTAGCTAGCTCCTAATTACAAAATTAGCCACTACATAACTAAACAATGGCTAAAGTGTGCAATAAGCTGGCTAGAGCATGCAATTGGGCCATTTCTCGCAACTCCTGCAATTGAAAACTTTAGCCTATTTTGAGCCTTAAAGTCTTGGCAAAAAACAAAACGAAACCAAAAAAGATCATCACTTCATTTGATTGGACAGGAAATTGAATCTGGATGCATTGTCACAAGTTTTGTCAACAAAAGACTAGTTGGCAGATGTTTTCACAAAATCAATCTGAGGGTCCAGAATTAACATCATTTGTGGCAAGCTAGGAGTATACGATATGTAAGCCCCAGCTTGAGAGAGAGTGTTAAATATGTCAAATACAGATACAATGTAAATATGGAAAGGATCCCAAATCCCTGTAATTAAGTTATTAGGAGATTTTGTAGGAAATAATTATTTTCTTTGCTTTTTCTGTTTCTTGTAAAGATTATTTAAACCCAATAGCTTGAGTGAATAATCAAGCAATCTATTTCCCAAATTCTCTTCTCTTCTTGTTTCACAGTGTCATTCTTTTCAGGACGGAGTAAAAAGGAAATACCATCACATAAATTAGGACAGAGAGACTATGCATTGTTACTCTTAAAATCGGAATTACTCTTTTCCAGTATGTGATTACACTACTAACCTAAGAGAGCCTGAGATAGCCACACCAGTCCAGGAACAACCAAAACCAACAACTGGGCCAAGGAAGAATTCTACCTATCCATCTTCTTGTTTCGTCTTTGATGTCACTTATGAGCCTATTGAATTAGTTGTAACATAATACATCAAGACTTAAAGGATGAATTGGAGTCTAAAAGTGATATATCGGAGATCTACACCAATTTGCAGTTAACTTGATGTCAAGTTAGCACAGCGACTTTGACTCTGCAGTCTGCACATAGAAAGCCACTGAACTTAACTGAATACACAAATTGACTTCAAAATACAGCAAGAACCATTTTTGTAGGACCAGAGATTATGATTATTGTTGAGAGGACCATAACATCTATACTATATTAAAAGCACGAAGCCCTTAGCGAAATGTCTTTTTACCCCTTAAAAATAGACTTCACATTAGACAAAATTGTAATTTAACTATTTTCCTAATATTTAGGACTTTGAAATCTACTAAAATTTTGGCTATAAAAACTCTTATTTAGAAATTTAAAATAAAATAAATTTTTTACTTATAAAACTTTTCCTTATTTAGATTGTATAAAGTAACTAACCTTTTTCCTATATGTATGTGATAAAGTGTATATAAACATACATTACAAATTTACTAATGAAAATTTAGATCTAATTTTATGCCTTCAAAATTGAAGATTACTATACAATGCAAAACCAAACTAATACACATAGTAGGACGAGTAAGAAAATATCTGTAAACAAGATTACTATGACATGCCACCGTTTTGAAAATAATAGTAATACTTATATTTAAAGTAATAATAAATACTCAGATTATATACTTTAGTTAGTATACATAAATGGTATGTATCTATTCATAAATTTATACAAGTAATTGTATTCTATCATTTATTTGTGACTTTTAGCACAATACATATTTCGGTTGGTAATTAAGATATCGGGAATTTAATATTTTGTGTTATTAGACAGCTTTCTCTGCCATGAAGATTTAAAAAACACAAAAATATAGAATTAATTGCCCACCCCAACCAAACACTTCGGACAAATATCCTTTTTATAAATGATCTTTTGATTTTCTTTATCCTTCCCCAGTATTTGTATTTTGACTGTTCATTTTTTAATTATATTTTGATGATTGAGGACTATGGCAGTTTCATTCCTTATTGAGTTGACTATATAGAACTAATATTCCTTATTCTACATGAATTTATATTTTTATTTTATAACTCAAACATAATATTTATATATAAATTCTAAAAACTTTTTACTCCTTTAAATAGGTTACACGCGCAACGCGCGTATCATAAGACTAGTTCATTTTAAACACCAGAAAATAGTTCCTCCATCAACATCATTCTTTCACACAGGTTTATCGTTTATTGGTGCATAAGATATTTAAACAACCATATGACTGAATTCTTCATAGGAAAGCGAAGGCTCTTAAATTATTAGTATATGAATGTATAACTGTCAAGTAGTAGGTACATAGTGGAAGTGCCTTTTTAATCAGTCACATTGATCTAAACAAAAATGCACCAGTAAGGAAGCAAACCTCTTAAAGAAAAACATATTCACGCCTATCTTAAACTAAGAAATTCTGCTTCAATCAAACAGACTTGCAGTAACATACCCGAGGGGCGCGAGCTCCCATTTCTTGAAAAGCACGAGGGTTTTGCAAAAATGCTACGACTTCATTAATTTCTTCTCTCATAGAATCAATGCTTGCAAAGTCATCCAAACGTATAGGGGGATTCTTCACCCTCTGGGAAACAGAGAAAAGGAGAATTGATCACCGAAAGCAAGTATACCACGGCATTGTCATGGTTAAAGAACAAAAGTGCAAACCTTCATCTGATCAAAAGCAGTACTGATTGGATCAACGCCTGCCTTCTTCTTTCGCTTTATTTTCCTCGTCCTAAATCTAAAATATGCTTTCTGCAGCAAAGTATAACAATTATTATGCATAAACTTGACTTACTTGAAATTATTGCAAGAAGTAACAATTACTTGTAAGCTGTTATCTAGCAATGATTCATGCAGAAACATATAAGTTGACCACATACAATCCTTCAAGGAAATTACCCTTGGACCAAGAATATCCTGAATCGTAAAACCTTTAGCAGCAAAAAGAAAGATCTGAGCTAGTCTACAAATATACAAACATCATACCAAAAATCAATTCTTAGAGCTAATAACAAAAAATTACTTCAATCAAGCTACTTTGTTTTTCTTAAAGTGAGGTTCATCTTATTCAAAATTTGCACCAAGAAAGTGCAGTTTACAAATATACAAAAGTATTTTCACAATAAGCTGTATAGGGAGCTAACAGAATCCAGCATACTTTCTGTCATTTACAACTTTTAGTTTCGTTAGAGTAACAAAACTAATTATCTTAACCAAATTCTCTAAAGAACAATTTTAATATTCAGAAACGATTTTGATAAGCCAAACAAAAAGAAAGGCCCTTAGAAACAAAATTCTAGAGTATTTGCTGCATTGCTAAAAGTATTCTCATCAAAAACTCAATGTCACATCTATTTCGCCCTTAATCACATGAACAAAACACTGTATGGAAACCTTTTAACAAAACCCCTATTTGTCCCACCACATTTCATGCATCCATAATACATTCTTATATTTCAATTATTTGACTATAATAGGCTCTTATCCTATCATTGAAACAAAAGACCCCAAACAACTTGTCTACCGTCTTTTCTTTCTTTTAGCACTCTATATATCAGCACAAGTCATTTACACAAACTAGGTTTTTCTCCACATTGGAGCCCGAAATTTGGAATTAACATATTTTACAATTCAATTCAGGCTTCAACAACATCCAAGTAACATCTAATGAAGAAAGAAGTTGTACTATGCATAAACAGAAACATACATTTGTCTAGACACTAGATATATAAATGAGTCGAGGAGGTAATTATACCACTCTCTGCAGCTTCCGTAAGTTGGGGTTTCTCCTTAAAGGTCCATAACCAAGAAGCCGTGGAATTTTCCTCTTCATAAAGCGTATCACATAATACAATACATAGCCATATATTGCAGTTCTAATCAAGAACCAGAGATACCACTGCAATTCATCTTTTTTTCTTGATCTGAAACTCATTTCAGCCTCAGATTGCCATTTCAAGTACCAAGTTGAGGCAACAGATTGATCGACATACTCTGGCCAAGCCATACCCAGCCGCATCCTCACCTACACCACAACAGCAAGAGACTGCTTTGAAAACACAGTTAATAAACAAGAAGGAAGATTAAACAATCAACAGGGTCAAGTTGCAAGCTATATAAATACCCGATAAGGGATGACAAATTCCACAGTAGGGAAAACAATCATCATCATGATGTCATCATTTATGTTTCTAACTTTCTCCACAATCCAGTCTCTTCCGCGAGAAACAATTCTCAGAGTCCACAATCCATTTAGACATTGAAGACAGAGTCTTGTGACCAAGAGAAATTGTTGGCGGAAGTCCAGTTCTGAGAAAGGAATCCACATCAGCTGAACCACAGTCGGGATACCTGAAGCAAGCATTCTCAGGTACAAGGCATCAAAACCTCCAAAATCTTCATAAATCATATCATATTCCTGGAATAAAAATGATGAGGTTAAAAACCAATGACAGATATTTACATCAGAAAGAGAAATCACTGCAAATAGAGCATCATACCTTGATATCAACATAATACTCTTTGTCATCTCCCTTCAACATAACATACATGGCAGCCCAGTCATGTCTGATTCTAGCACTCTCAAGAAGCTTCTTGGACACGGCATAGGGAACAGCCACAGGATCCATCTCCCACCTATTTCTTTCTTCATTGTACCATGATTTTGCCACCACTCTATCCCGATCCAGGAGGATCCTTTCCTATAATAAGCATTTGGAAATAATTATTAAAAAATTCCACCTTACGAGAGGACATGGTATCTTGCACTGAGACAAGCAATGAGCAACAACAACAAGAAAAAAAGAAAAAAAAGCCTAGTGAAATCCCACAAGTGGGGTCTGAGAAGGGTAGAGTGCACACAGACCTTACCTCTACCTTTGTGAGGGTAAAGAGGTTGTTTCCGATAGATCCTCGGCACGAGAAAATATGAGAAAAAAGCAATAGCATGAAGCAATACCAACAACATGATAATAGATAAATCGAAGCGAAAGAGGCAAGACTAGGGATAGTATTAAAAAACCAGAACATGTGGTAATAGAAAAATAAGCATAAGGGAATACAAGATCAATAATGCTAATGGTATGGCAAAGAAAAACGCTCAACTATCTACTAACCTTCTGCCCTAATCCTCGACCTTCTCACCCTCCTACCAAGGGCCAATGTCCTCGGTTAACTGAAGTTGCGCCAAATCCTACCTAATCACCTCCTCCCATAACTTATTTGGCCTACCTCTACCTCTCCTTATACCCACCACGGCCAACCTCTCGCATCTACTAACTAGGGCAGTAGTGCCCTCTGTTCACATGCCTGAACTATCTCAACCTCACTTCCCGCATCTTGTCCTCCATGGAGACCACTCACATCTTGTCCTCAATATCTTTTTTCCTAATCTTATCTCTCCTGGTATGCCCACACATCCATCTCACCATTCTCATTTCTACCACTTTCATCTTCTAGAAGTGGAATTACTTTACACGCCAACACTCTACCCCATACAACATAGTCGATCTAATCATTGTTTTGCAGAACTTACATTTGTCTCGGAGGTAAATTCTTGTCACACAAAACACCGAATGCGAGCCTCCATTTCATCCACCTCGCTCCAATACGATATGTGACGTCATCATCAGTCTCCTCATTATCTTAGATTACCGAAGGTACATAAAACTAGCTTTCTTGGGGATGACGTGTGAGTCAAGCTTCACGTCCACATCCGCCTCATGAGTCACATCGTTGAACTTGCACTCCAAGTATTCCATCTTGATCCTGCTCAACTTGAAACCATTTGACTCTAGGGTTCGTCTCTAAACCTCCAACCTTGCGTTAACCCTACCTCGCGTCTCGTCAATCAATTATGTCATCAGCAAACAACATCCACCATAGCACCTTCCCTTGAATGTGATGCGTCAAAACGTCCATCGCCAAAGCAAATAAAAAGAACTAAGAGTTGATCCATGATGCAACCCCATCTCAACTTGGAAGTGTTATGAGTCCCCACCCACCGTCCTTACCTGAGTCTTGGCTTCATCGTACATGTCCTTAATCACCCTAATGTAAGCTACAGGAACACGTCTGGAGGCCAGACATCTCCATAAGACCTCCCTCGGAACTTTGTCATATGTTTTTTCTAGGTCGATGAACATCATATGCAGGTCCCTCTTCCTCTCTCTATACTGCTCCACCAATCTCCTAAGGAGGTGAATTGCTTCCATAGTCGAACTCCCAGTCATAAATCTGAACTGGTTCTGGAAAATAGACACATTCATCCTCACCCTCGCTTCCACCATCCTCTCCCAAACTTTCATGGTATGGCTTAGCAGCTTGTTATCCCTATAGTTATTGCAATTTTGGATATCGCCCTTGTTCTTGCAGAAGGGAAACATCATACTCCATCTCCATTCTTCAGACATCTTCTTCGTCCTAAAAATGACATTAAACAACCTAGTAAGTCACTCCACACCGTCCTTGCCTGCGTACTTCCAAAACTCCACTGAAATTCGTCTGCTCTACCCCTGCTCATCTTGCGTATAGCCCCCAACAACCTCCTCAGCCTTAATACGCCTACAATATCCAAAATCTCGATGACTCTCAAAGTGCTCCAAATCACCTATCACAATGTTCCTACAAGAGCTTATGGAAGTATGCCTTCCATCTTCGTCTAATAGTGTCTCTTCCACCAATACTTTGTCGTCCTCATCTTTGATGCACTTCACTTGGTCCAGGTCGCGGAACTTCCTTTCTCTCACCTTAGCAACCTGTACAGCTTCCTATCCCTGCCTTTGGCCTCCAGTTCTTCATACAAAGTTTTAAAAGTTTCAAATAGAACCAAAAGATTACGGCAACAAACTTCCATTATATAAATCATGAAATAATTGATGTACCAATTACTAGATGCAAAAACCCAATAAGGATCTCGAGGCTCAAAAGCTCCCCAAATATCCTGAAATTCAATTTTCTTTCTCCATTAAGTAAAGAGAACATGGCTCCTCTTGACCTCTTTAAAATAGCTCCCCCCTCCCTTCTCGGAGAAATTTTAAAATGGAGCATCTTCAATTAATAGGATGAAGTTGCACGGCTAATCTGGCAATGGTATTTGTTGGGACAAAGATGACAGGAGCCAACAACTTGTAATAGCCTGTATGGGACCTAGGGTCCTAGACAACCTTTTAGCTCAGCATATCTATTAATTAACTACTACATCTTTCTATACCCACCAGAACTAAGAATATCACAAGCAGGTCATTCAAAATGCTTGAAATGTAATGGCAAGTAGTTTGATAAATCCTACCAACTATTCATTCGAATAAGAAGTTGCCAAATTGAAACATTAATATCTTTCATCAGGAGGTAAATTAGTTCTCATTTACCGTGTGACGGATACTATACGTCTATACCCATATATATTATGGTTTATTTCATTCTTTTTTTTTATAAGTATCACGGATTTATTTCTTATGCCTCAAAAGGCCTCTAAGGGGTTGGATATAATACAGAGAAATTTCCTATGGCAAGATTATCGAGAAAAGAAGACTTACAATTTGGTTGAGTGGAAGACCGTCACAAAAAGCAGGAAACTAGGAAGGTTGGGGGTTAGAGAATTGAAGGCACTTAACAACGCAACAGTTTGATCTGCAAGTGGATTTGGAGGTTCAATCAAGAAGAAAATGCTCTTTAGAGAGTCGTAATATGCACTAATTACGGACTTCTCAATCCCTGAATATCCAAATATGTTCCTCCCCTCCCCCACTTGGTATGGGAAAACAAAAAATTAGAGCCAAATGGGAATTTTCCTTTGTGAACTTTATTCTAAATGTAGGCGATGGTAGGAGCACAAGATTTTGGCATGATATTTGGCAATGGCTGGTTTGTCAAAAAGAATCTAAATAATTGGGAATTATACAGGTACCTATCCTTATTAGACATTCTAAGTTTAAGCATATATCATGTGGTTTCTTTCAACTCTGATTGTCTTTAATGGGCATCCAAAAAGCAGCTTCTCTGTTAGTTCTTGTACTCTATATCTACCCATACATCCCCACAGTGTGTCATATGGCCTTGGAAGATCATTTGGAAAGTTTTAGCCTCTCAAGGTGAAGTGCCTCTCATGGTTGGTGGCCAAAGAGGCTTGTCTCATGCAAAGCAACCAGCAGAAAAGGGCTGCAGCTTTGTACCAGATGTCTCTTATGTGAAGAGCATATAGAACACCCATCTCTCCATTACAAATTAACTGCAAAAAAATTGGGATTTTATTCTTAACATCTTGGGAATTGATTGGTGTATGCCCAAAAAAGTCGTATAATTTTTGCCGTGATGGCACGGGAAAGGTACACAATGCTCTTCGAACAACAAATGGAAGACTATTCCAGCTGCAGTCTGGTGGTGCATCTAGAAAGCAAGAAAGAACAATGTTATACATGTCAAACACATTTTTTGGGGGCTTAATTTCTGGTGTAACATGGCTGATATAAATGTCTCTGACCCTACCACCATGTTTAACTTCATTTGCTCATTGCATAATTTGTAAAGAGCTCTTTTTGCCTTGCTTTTATGTTTCCTAGTAGTACCTGTATGTTGGTTCTTAATATACTCCATTTGTCCCAACTTATGTGGTGGTGTTTGATTGGACACGGAGTTTAAGAAAGAAATGAAGATTTTTCAAACTTGTGGTTTAAAATAAGCCATAGATATATGTACAGTTATAAATCATCTCATTAAGGGTAAATAAAAACTTTAAAATCAAATTATTTCTAAATAAGGAAGTATGACATTCTTTTCGGGACAGACTAAAACAGAAAGTATGACACTAAACCCGGACAGAGAAAATAGAAGTTATCTTTACCGATTTAAAAACTAAAAAATAAATAGTTCAAAGTTTTATCATTTTGAACAGTCTATTGCAAGTCAAATAGTAATATAAACACCTAATAGTCATCATAAAAAAGAGCAAAGTTTCTTTTCCCCTTCTTGAGCTACGTTCATTTTTTCCATATAAGGCAAATAAAATGACTAGGGAAACCCTATAGGCAAGCTGCACACCGAATTGCAGCGAATCCACAAAATAATATGGCTCTCTACAAAGAGGGTTCTTGATGCAAAAATTTGTAAGTACCTTTTAGCGCACAACAACCGATTCTTCAATGGTTTAGAGGGTGAACTTAGTCAAAATGAAGAAAACTGGTTTGTAGAGTTATCTAAGTGAAATATCTAAGTGAAATATCAAAGGAACAAAAGCCCCAAAAATCCTGTAACAAAATGAAAAAAAAAATGAACTATTGCCGTTGGCAATTCTAGTTCTGTCAATGGGTGTTTTGCAGGAGCATCATTTATCTTTAAAAAGGACTAGAAAATTCCTATAGATTGATCCTCAGCATGTACCAGTCACAATCTGAGCACATTTATATGATCTCACAGAAGGTAATCCCCACCCTCAGCCCAACAAACAGGAAAATTAAAAACAGAAGGATCTCATTCTAAGATAACTGTAACCTGTAAGCATTCCTAATGAGCTAGATTTTATTTCTCCTCTGGGGAGAGGGCCGGATGGCATAGGCATAGGTTAGTATCCATATATTCAGCTAATTCTACCATTGAAACCCGATTATAGGTTGCTCCAGAGCATAAAAATAGCTGGTGATGTGATTCTCTTCTGCCTATCCTTATTTTTTTTAGACTGCTCTTCTGTCTATCCTCATTGGGGCACATAATGGAGCATTCAAGATTAGACCATGAAATCGGTTAATACAAGTTCTAAAGGTGCAGTATTTCATGTTCTCTCCTGATTGCTGATACCCAATACAGCAGTTTTGGCAGGAAAACCAGCTATCCCTCGAGTAGAAGTGAACTTTATTAGGGAAAATCATCCAACCTAACAGGCACCTATTTAGCCATGAGACCACAACCCCACAATCTATAATGTACCAACCCCTCACTTATGTAGAGTCTCACACTTCTAGATCACAAAATCGAAGCCAAGATATGAGACAAACAGTTACTGAGAAACACTAGCTAATTAGATACAAAGTAACTCTTACTACAGAGGAAAAGATAAGCTATGGATAGCGATGAACCACAAGAGGAATTCCAAGATGATCAATTTAATGATAAATTATCAAACTGATAGTAATAGAAAGGCAAAAGTAGAAGCGGATGATTGCACTACCTAACATAAGCAGGCATATCTAAGCATTTCAGCAAAACTTACCTGTTTTTCAGCCATGTACTTTTTACCATGCTCAGCATTCTCCAGCAAATCCCTCTTGAGCTCTGCTTTAACATCCTCACGCCATTTCTTCCAACCATGATGCAAATGGAGGCTAACGGCCTTTGGAACTATGACCTCCCTGTTTCCAAACATCCACTTTAATTCAATCTCAGGGAAACCCTTAACAACTTCATCCGCTGGCGTGTTTACAACAAAACGTTTTTCATCACCATATCTCTTCATTTTTTTCTTAATACGACTCTCGAGACTCTGTTGCATCTCTCTGGAGTTCTTAAGTGTTTGTTCTATTCGCTGAGCAAATACCATAGAGTCTTGATCAAAAAGGAGTACATTCTCTTCATTTTCCAAAACACTGGGTAGAGCTATCTGCTCTAATAATTGTCTTTGGGCAGTTTGCAGCTCTTCTTTTATCTCAGATCTAGAAAGCTTGGTGAGAGAGTTTTCAGGCACACTGCAAACACATAGAACACAAGTATATTAAATGATTGGAACAATATAGTTCACAAACAATATCAGATAGCAAGTTTTGTTACAAATAGTATTAAACAAAACTAACCTCTTCTAAAGAACAAAAGGATATCTACAGCCTACAAGAATAACATGCTAAATGTCAACTATTTAGTCACCAGCATAAAGTAGATTAGCTGACCAGGGAACAAGTAAAATTGGAGATGGACTTAAATTCTAGCTAACATAATAGCGAACTAAGCAACAAAATATCTAGATGAGGTATTCCAGGAAAACACCAGAACAATTTACAAGGTTAAATCCTCAAAAGAAGGAAAAAACAATCAGTTCACAACAGAGCTATATGTTTTAGGTGCCAACTAAATTAGTACGTGCACAGGGGCAGTTGCATCCCAAGATTTCCCTGAACCTGAGTGCACAAATAAAACAAAAGAGCTCCATGCCAATATCAGGTGTTAGATTAAAAGAAGCACAGCTTGTTTGCTATCATTACTTGTAGCAAAGACCTAAAATTTCAATATTGTCTTACCTCTTGATGCTTTCCAGCCTCATTTTCCTTAGAAACTCCTTGACCAAGATTTCACACTCCCTCTCAATAGATGCAAGCTCCCTTACACCAATGCTCAATGCAAGTGTTTCTCTCCTCATAATCTCATCATCTATCTCAGCAATCCTTTCCAACAATCCATTATATTCCTCCTCACTCCGTCTCACTTCCTCATCCAATATCGCAACTTTTCCCTTTACTACTGCATCTTCATTTCCCTTAGCCTTCTTCAATAAACCTTCCTCCTCCCTCTTAATCTTCAGCACTACATCAATAATCTCCTCCGAACGCTTGACCAACACGCCTTTTTCGCTATTTAATAATCTCAGTTCCACATAGAGACCATTCATGATCTCCTCTTGCAACTCCTTCCTCTTCATTTTCACATCTTTTAGCTTTCCCTCCACGCATTTTACATCCTCTTTACCGGACTTCACCTCCTCTATCACTTTAAGCAACCCCGAGACAGTCTCTAACAATCTCTTAGTACAATGTGAATATACATGTCTAGTGCCATCCTTCTCTTCCCCTTTACTACTACCTTTCTTTTTTGTTTTGTTAATCAGCTCAGCTGCAGCGGGCGGAGCAGCAATAGCAGGAGGCAATTGAAATCCTAGAATGGGGCAGAATGCAAAAGCAATAGAGAATAATGTGTAGACTAAAGGCTTTACAATGGGTTTCAGAAGATTTTGGCCATTATTATACCTATCTGGTATTATTGTGTCTTTTTTGGTGATAGAACACTCTAGAAGAAGTCTAGCTGGAGCTGAAGTTATAGGAAGTAGAAGAGAATTTTTGGGTTTATCTCCTTCACAGGAAGATTTGATAGGGAATTTTTTCAAGCGGATTCGGTTATTAGGGCGATTGAAGAATGGATTTTGAGGAGTAGGGGAAGTGAAGAATGGAGTAGTAGTAGCAGTAGTATACATAATAGGGCGGTGATGAAGGCTAAGACGTTGGTGTTATAGCGCATGAAATTGGGAGAGTAGTAGCATTTCTGAGAAAGTTGAAGAAGGAGGATAAGACCGCTGGGGTTTTAACCAAACAAAACCCCAGAGAAAGAGCCGGCGAGCAAAGTTAATTGGGATTACAGCAGAAGGGTGCTCATATTTTTTCTTCCTCCTCCCTTCTTCTCCTCTTTTTTGCAAATTATCCTTCTTGTTTTCCTCCTTTTCTTTCCCTTTTTGAACTTTTCTATTTACTTTAATGAGTATACAATTATAAAAAATCATATAACTATTATGCATTAAAACAATGTGTTTGGGTTTTAATATAAATTTAAAAAAAATAAGTTTCCAAAAACGATCAATATTAATCCCATTTTGCTAGTTCAACAAAGAAAAAAATCATGCCCCGTAAAAATCCTCAAATGCGTAACTTTGAATTTTGAAAACTTCTGTAGAAATATTTTATGCAAATTATTATTTTTATAACCTAATACTAAAAATAAAATAAAAAACACAAAATACTTTTATTACGATTTGTTAAATAACACAAATACAAGATTTTAATATTTTGATCTTTTAGATATTTGGTGATGAATTGATTGGCCTTATAGCTCCTACAAAAAAATTTGTAAGGGACAATATAAAGTTGTCACGACCCAAACTTTCATCGGAGTCGTAATGGCGCCTAACACTGCTCGCTAGGCAAACCAACAACCAATACGCATAAATAAACTTCAATAACAGCATTAACTAGTCTCAAATGCAGATTAATATAAATAACTGAAGTCAAAATAGCGATACAACTGAAAATCATCCCAAAATCTGGGTCACCGAGTAGATGAGCTCTATAAAATAAGTAAATACAAGGTCTGAGTCCAATACAATATTGTCCGAAAAGACTAAACAGTGACAACATGAAAAAAGGAAAGGGGCTTTAAGGCCTGTGAACGAAATAGCAGTGCTACCTTGAAATCTCCAACTAGTCCAGATCCGGCTCACGGGCAACTACCATGATCAGCAACACGTGGATCTACATATGAAATGCACAATATAGTATGAGTACGAGCAACCACATGCACTCAATAAGCAGCAAGCCTAACATCAGGATGAAAGTAGTGACAAGATTGGCAAGGTCCGTTGCTCACTTTCCACGGCCAACAACAATAATAACAGCAGAATAAAAGCATATAGGGAAAAAGCAGCTCAGATAATAACAACTTCAACTCTAAAATAATAAAAGATAAATAGACATGCTTTTCGGGAATATCAGTCATGGCATCAGCTTTTTCCACATAAATCACTGAGACGGAGATTAGTTAAGGTAAACTGTGATTTTCAAGCTCTAAATATCAAGTAGAGACATCAAACACCAAATAGAATGAGAAAAATATAACTTTATACCTGCATATCAAATATACATGCCAAATCAATAATTTCACAGTTAAATCATCACGTAGACACCATCTCAGCACATTAATAGTGTCTAGCATAGGTACCCCTTAATCATACTCTTAGCACTCTCACGGTGCCTAGAAAATTGCCCGTGGATCATATCACACACACACACACACACACACACACTCAGCACTGTACGGGGCATAAGCCCTTTACTAAGCACATATTACTCAGAAGGCAAAGTAACGTGGGTTATCACCTGACTCCGGATGGGCGGATCCTAGTCCAAGCGTTGATAAGATCTAAGTCAACGATCAATATCACTCAGCCCAATATGGGGCCTGGAATACGCGTCACCTCTCTATCAATACCACACACCCCAACATGGGGTCTGGCGCATGTGTCACCTCACTATCAATATCAACACGGCTCTATGACCCAAGATCAGTCATCAATCCGCTTAAGTCTCTGTATGCCAACATCTCACAGAAATATAATTCAATATACCACACGAAATATACCAACGTGCTACATTTAAGCTCAAACTCGTGTCACGCACAAGGATACCAACAACATGTGAGAAAATATATAGAAAGTATGCAGAGACAGAGATATAACACATGGATATGATATCGTGACTAAAAAGTATGAATACGGCTAAGGCAAACAACTCAACATAGCAAAAATAGCCCTATCACGCCTCAACAAATAAGCAAATAGCCTAGACATGATTTCTACCACGAATAACAGCTCACGTAGTTATACAAATTGAGAGAACATGATATCAAGAAGCATGATAGCTAAACAAGGCATATAATAACCTTAGATCTACCGGGATCATGAATAACCATGGTGCACATATATACACTCGTCACCTCGCATATACGTCACCCCCAATATATGTCCGGGTCTAGGTAAGCCAACATGAAATAAAGATGCAAAACAATGAAACAAGATATAATATGGCCGAAATAACATAAATAGCAAAATAAATCTTAAACAATAGCTAATACACAAATACCATAATATCAAATTCTCAAAACCAAGTAGTACAAAGTCATGAGATTTAAAACTGAATACAAGAAGATGTCTCAATAGTACAATATTGTTTGAATTTATGAATAATAGTATGAAGATAAGGGAAGGGGACATCAAGGGTCTGCAGTGATCATGCAGCATTACCTTAAATCCTCTCTATCGGCAAACAATGTTCACTCCTAAGATCTGTTGCTGCCAACGGCCGAAACTGCACAAAATGTGCAGAAATGTAGTATGAATACGCGATAACGTATACTTAGTAAATATCAAGACTAACCTTGGTGAAATAGTAACGAGATTAAAATCATGTGATACTCACTAATCAAGTATATGTGCAACTATAATACTCACAACAAGAATATAACAAGATGCAATATCATCAACTACCAAATCAAGAGATATTAACTCAACATAGATAAATCAACCTTGACAATCGAGTCACATACAAATAATAAAGGCATATAATAGCATGATAAATTCAACATAAAAGCTCACAAAATTCCTAATAAGGCATAAATGATTCACTTGCATGGTTAAAGCTTCCATATTTATGCTTAAAATTCTCCATCATCGGATTCTATATTAGAATCCACTAACATCAGCCAATTTATCATAATACGCGTGTACGTCGTCAAGAGAGAAACATGAGAGGGCGAACCTAGGAGGTGGATCCAAATTCACACGTTGCACAATATAATATATACATGCAAAACAGTAACAATATCATCATAGCTGCACGGCAAAGACCTCGTGCCACAATACCATCAACACCACAATATGCGCATGGAAGAGACCTCGTGCCAACACCAACCCAACCCGCTCAATATGTTCATATGTGCTATAATCATAACAATATAATATACCAATTTATCATAAAGAGACATATGCTCACAATTAATCAATAAGGTGTACAAGGACATAATAATAATAACAATAATAAAGTACGGATATGTGCTCAAGATGTGAAATATGACTACGGCTAAATCAGTTATACCAATAATTTCATAATAGCCCATCTTGGAAAACTAGGAGATAATATAACTAAACATGGTCTCTAGTATGAAAGGATAAGTAAACGTAGTCATACAAACGATTAAACATGTATCATAGAGGACACAATCAAAATAAGGCATAATAGAAGGCTAAAGTCGAATCCGGTCATAAATCATGCATAGCACCCCGCATATACGCTCGTCACTCGCATACACGTTGCTTTTCACACATTACAATTAGACAAATAGGGTCAAATCCTAAGGGTTATTCCCTCACACAAAATTAGATAAGATACTTACCTTAGCAAGCCCAAATCAACCTTCGAAATTGTCTTTTCTTTAGAAAACACCTCTAACCGTCTCGAATCTAGTCAAATACAACTCAAAAATATCAAAAAACAAGGTCATAGGAATCAATTCCAAACAAAAAAGCTTAAATCTTTGATTAATTCCCAAAAAGTCAATAAAAGTTAACTCGGGTCTACATGATAAAAACCCGAGTCAATGAGTAGATCCAAACTACCCATAACCCCACGAGTCCAAATATATATTTGGTTTTCAAATTCAAGTCCAAATTTTAGCTCAAATCCTTAATTTTTCCTCTTTTAAGTTGTGAGGAAAACCCCTAAATTTACCTCAAAAATCCATGTTTTGGGTGTTATTAATCCATGTAGATTTTAAAAGTAATATTAAAAATAAGTAGAAATCACTTACCCCAAAGTCTTGTGTGAAAATATCCAAGCAAAATCGCCCCTCTCCTAGTCTAGTGTTCAAAATATGAGAGAATGGACTAAAATCCCGAAATACAAAATTTAAATATTCTGTCCAGAGGTACTCTTCCCGAGCGCGGTCCGTATCTCGCATTCGCGAAACAAAAAATGCTTATGCCTGAAATTCCTCTTCGCGAACGCAAAGCCCGTCTCGCTAACGTAACGCTTCCCTGTTAGCCTCTTACACGAACGCGACTAAGCCCTCACGAATGCAAAGGCCAAAGCCCCCAACTCCCAACTTCTCTTGGCTAAATCGGCCCTCCAAATGCGAAAGCGAAGAACAAATCCACAAGCCATCGCGTACACGATGGCGGCGCGAACGCGAAGAATCTTTCTCAGCTCCAAATCCTTCATCCCAAACACGAGACTCCCCTCGTGAACGCGATCAACATCAAAACCAGCACATCAACCAACTCCAAAAATACTCCAGGTGGTCCGAAATTCACTCGAGCCACCCGGGACCCCGTCCAATTATACCAATAAGTTCGTAAATACTACCCGGACCTATCCAAAGCCTCCAAACACATACTATATGTAAGGACCCGTAAAATTTTTACCCAAAAACCCGAAAACTTGTAGTGCCAAGCTAAGCGCGGCTCAGACCTTTTTGGGTGATATGTGCATTAAAAAGTTAAGGAAAAATGTTTTTCAGAAGAGCCCGTTTCTGCGGCCCATTATGCGGCCGCATAATAACAATGCGGGCCGCATATCTGCCGCAGAGTAGGTCAGTATGTTGGCCAATTTGAGAACAACTATGCGTCCAATTATGTGATCGCATAATCGATATGCAGGCCTCATAGTCGTCGCATAGCCTCCTTGGAATTTTTGTATAGGGCAGTTTTGCGGTGCATTATGCCATCGCCAAAACAGGTATGCGGACCGCATATTGGTCGCATACCCAGGCAGCGTATCCAGGTCTTGAGGCCACTTTTGCTGTCCCTTTTGCGGGCTGCATATCAGTTATGCGGTCGCATATGCGATCGCAGATTGAGTCGGGGCTCCTATTTTCTAAC